CTGCCTTTGGCCCAGGGTGCGATCCTGGAGACCCCGGGATCGAGTCCCACGTCGGGCTCCCGGTGCATGGAGCCTGCTTCTCCCTCTGCCTATGTCTCTGCCTTGTCTCTGCCTCTCTCTCTCTCTGTATGACTATCATAAATAAATAATTTAAAAAAATTTAAAGAAACAAAAGAGAACCTTGGGTAAATTTTATTGCATGTGAATTATATCAAAAGCCAATGGAGAAACTTTTTAAAAATCTCCCTCCCTAACACCCAGAGATATCTTCTGGCTTTACAAAGCAACATTCCACTGTGTGACAAGACAATTTACGTAACTCGTTCTCCATTAAGCTTCATTATAGCTTCTTTTTCTCCCTTTAAAAAAAGGTTGCAGGGACGCCTGGGTGGCTCCGTGGTTGAGCATCTGCCTTTGGCTCAGGCTGTGATCCTGGGATCTCAGGATCAAGTCCCGCATCAGGCTCCCTACCTACCTCTCTCTCTGCTTCTCATGAATAAAATATTCAAAATAAAATAAAAAACGGTTGCAATAAGCATCTTTTCTATATACTCTTTTGCACATATCCCTAAGATATGTTCCCAACAGCAGAGTTCTGCAAGAAGTACATATATGCATTTCACATGCGGACTATGCCCTGACTACCCTCCTTCAAATACAGCTACTCCAAGCTGACCTTCATTCCTCAGGGTAGGAGGACCTTTTCCACGTGTTTACAGCACTTGTTATCAAACATTTTAATATGAACCATCTATAAGATCAAAAATGATTTTTAAGGGGTAGAGGGGAGGGGTGGTTACCTTTTAAAATGAAAACCTAATTCCTATATATAAGAACATCTCTCAGCTCATCTGAACATATTAATAGGTGTACAACAGCCTTGTTAAAAAAACACACAAACTGTGGAGGGGCACTTGGCTGGCTCAGTGGGTAGAGCATGTAACTCTTGATCACAGGGTCGTGAAGTGCACAGAGCTCACATAAAAATAAGTAAAAATAAAGATGTACACAATTTAAAACATTGTTTAAAAAACAAGACAAGAGGGGATCCCTGGGTGGCGCAGCGGTTTAGCGCCTGCCTTTGGCCCAGGGCAGGATCCTGGAGACCCGGGATCGAATCCCACGTCGGACTCCCAGAAGCCTGCTTCTGCTTCTCCCTCTGCCTATGTCTCTGCCCCTCTCTCTCTGTGTGACTATCATAAATAAATAAAAATTAAAACAAACAAACAAAAAACCCAAAAAACAAATGCCTGGGTGCCTCAGCCATTGAGAGGCTGCCTTTGGCTCAGGGCGTGTGACCCCAGGGTCCTGGGATCGAGTTCCCCACAGGGAGCCTTCTCTCTCTGCCTATGTCTCTGCCTCTCTCTGTCTCTCATGAAACAATAAATCTTTAAAACCACCACCACAACAACAAAAACAAGACACGAAGCACCTGGGTCAGTGTCCGACTCTTGGTTTCAGCTCAAGTCGCAATCTTAGGGTCATGGGATTGAGGCCCATGTCCAGCTCTGCACTTAGTGGGGAAGATGCTCCCTCCCCCCGGCCCCCTCCCCGTCCCTCCTACCACCTGTGTGCACGCCTACCCCCTCTTTCTCTAAAATAAATAGATCTTAAAAAAAAAATTAGTATCTTAAAAAAACACGCACACACTAAGAGGCACCCAGGTGGCTCAGTCAGTTAAGGGTCCAACTGTTGATTTTGGCTCAGGTCATGATCTCAGAGGTTATGAGACTGAATCCTGTATCTGGCTTTTGCTCTGTGTGGAGTCTTCCTCTTCCTCTGCTCCTCTATCCTGCTCCCCACGTTCCCCACACTTCGTGCACACCTTTGTGCTCTCTCTCAAATAAAATCTTCTAAAAGAGTAAGTTAAATAAACACTATGGAAGCATATAAGACATTGCATATCCACTTAACCCACCATGTAGATAATTTCACATCAACAATACAGTGAACTTGCTCAATTCTCTTTTCACAGCTATACATCATTTCGTCCTAAAGAGCAACTGTGATTTAGGCAGTCCCTTACTGAGGACAGCTACTTGGTTCCTGTTTTTTTGCAGTTATAAATGCTATAGAAATATTCTAGAACAAATTTAGCTTTATGTGCAAGTCTATCAGTGAGACAGAATCTTAGAACTGACCATGCTAACAAGTGCTTTCACATCTGGAGATGTTGAGTTACCCAGGAGGTGTACCAGGATTATTTAATCCTCCATTTCTGGGGCACCTGGGTGGCTCAGTGGTTAAGCCTCTGCTTTCAGCTCAGGTGGTGATCCTAGGGTCCTGGGATTGAGTCCCGCATCAGGCTCCCCACGGGGAGCCTACATCTCCCTCTGCCTATGTCTCTGCCTCTGTGTCTCTCATGAATAAATAAATAAAATCTTAAAAAAAAAAAAAAAAAAGAAAGAAATCCTCCATTTCTTCAGTTCTGAGTAAGGATGAGCACCTGACATAGGATTATGTACCAACTAGGAAACGTCCTTTTCTATCTTTTGTCCATTTTCTATTGAACCATTGATACCATTCGTGTCAATCGTGATGAATTTTACATATAAAGATAACTAGCCCATCATCACACACACTACAAATATTGTCCCAGTTTAATCTCATTATATATGGGAACTTTTTTCCCCCAGTAATCTCCACACCCAACGTAAGGTCAAACTTGTGATCCCAAGATCAATAGTCACATGCTCTTAGGAATGAGCCAAGCAGGTGTCCCATGTAGAGGTATTTTTAATATGCTAAATTTTAAATTTTATACAGATGAATAATCTCATCTTTCTCTTATAGCTTCTATACGTCAAAGCATCAAAACAACAAAATTCATTTCCTGGGGATACAACTGGGTATTTTCCTACTGGCTAATGCATAGTTTTCATCAATATTCATTAAAAACACCCTACTTTCTTCACACTGGCAAAATACACCTCCTTCAAAATATACTAAATGACTCTGTGCATTTCAGTGACTCCATTTTTTCTATTAATCTGTTGTCTAACTTTAAATTCATCAGGTCATTAAAAAAATGCAAAAAATAAAAAATAAATTAAATTAAATAAATAAATAAAATTTTTAAAATGCACTGAGGGAGCCTGGGTGGCTGTCTTCAGCTCAGGTTATGATCTCATGGGTCAGAGTCCCATGTCAGGCTCCCATGTGGAACCTTCCCTCTCTGCACGTGCGTATCTTCTAACAGATAAATAAAATCTTAAAAAAAATACTGACATTCTGAGTTAGTAGAAACACTAAGACTTGTAGTCCAGAAAACATGACTATAACTGAGATTTCAAAATATATACCTATGCACTTATCAATCTCTGAAACCTTGATGTCCCAAGTAATGGCTTCTTTGCATAAGCATCTGCAGCTTATTGGAGAATGAAAATTCACAGTATAGATAAATTTCCTTTCCAACCCTCTACTCTTAGTCAAGCTGTTGCTAAAGGCATTTTTAGTTAAAGATTCAACATTGACAGCACACTGTGGTTAAAGAATGAATCTGGGAAAGAATCATTAATTTTAATCACAAGACTACTGATTTAATTTTTTTATTTATTTATTTTTTAAATTAATTTATTTGTGATAGTCACAGAGAGAGAGAGGGAGAGAGAGAGAGGCAGAGACACAGGCAGAGGGAGAAGCAGAGGGGAGACACATGCACCGGGAGCCCGATGTGGGATTCGATCCCGGGTCTCCAGGATCGCGCCCTGGGCCAAAGGCAGGCGCCAAACCGCTGCGCCACTCAGGAATCCCAAGACTACTGATTTAAACAGTCTCTCTCCTTTAAAGTGTCTTCTGGTGAGGAGGAGACATCTTTTCTTGGCTTCCTCACACCAAGCTCTGTGCCTTCCCCATCACTTAGGAATCTGAATGCCACCAAACCCCTTCACTGACCTCTGGTCATACTAGTGATGGAGAATTAGGAAAAAGAGAGAACATAAATGGAGTGACTCTAAATTCTGCACTCTCAATGGAAAAGGATGAACCCTGCTATTAAAGGGTGAAAAAAAAAATCTTAGGTCCACAATGGTTTGTGGCCTGAAAGGACCACAGCACATAAGCTACTTACTATACAGGGTTCTGTGGGAACAAAAATCTCAGAGGGGTAGGGGACAGATTACAAAAAAGGTCTTAAAAAAGTGGTTTGGCACCACCTGCAGCCCGGGGTGTGATCCTGGAGACCCAGGATCGAGTCCCACATCGGGCTCCCTGCATGGAGCCTGCTTCTCCCTCTGCCTGTGTCTCTGCCTCTCTCTCTCTGTGTGTCTATGAATCAATAAATAAAATCTTTAAAAAAAAAACAAAACAAAACACTAAACTCCAAAAATTTAACATTACTATTGGGTTATAAATTGATACTATATCTTTATCAACAACAGAAACAAAAGAGAAAAAGGACACCGTTACAGAACTATCTTGTAAAGATGAACACACGTATCCTGTACAAGCCAGCAATTCCTCTCCTCAGAAAAGACCTGGATAAATCCTACTATGTGTATGCCGAGAATATATTTAAAAACATTCATAATACTGTTTGTAATAGGAAAAAGAAATCTTTGAATCAACCCAATTAATCTATAAATAATGAATAGAGCTTGGGGAATACTCAAGCAACAATGAAAATAAACCATAGCCAACAAAATGGGTCAACAGAAACAGAACATTGAACGAAACAATAAAGTTATTAAAGAATATGCTATGAAATTATATATCGTAAGGCATAAAAACAAAAACACAGACTTCAAGGAATCAGAGAAATATGTAATAACACATTAAAAGGAAACAATATGTACAAAATGCACAACAGCGTTGGGGTAGTGGACTTACAGGTAGACACCAGATAGTACTGGCCATGTCCTAGCTCCCAGCCTGAGTGGTAGAGTAGTAAGTTATCTCTTTTGTTATTTTGCTTTATAACTTACAAATGTTATGTTATTCTTGCTAGTTGATATTTGGCTCTTCACAGTAGGGAGAAATTAACACAAAATAAAACTTACATCTAATTCAAAAAACAGGTCCCTTTCTTTACTTGCAATCTCATAATCTGCTCGGAGGGCCAAGTCGTGGATTTTGGTACATTCTCCTAAATCCATGCGCTGTGAGAAAGAAACAAAAATTTACACATGAACATTTACGCATCGTAAAAAGCATATGATCTGGTGTTTCAACTGTCACCAAAATAAATACCTTTTTGAATACTAAACTATAATAAAAATATTAAGAAACAGTATATACCCAAGAAACCTTATTTCTCTTTTACCACGATTATAACTTTAACTGTGAAAGTTTCTGTCTCTTTTAGACCTAGAGATAATTGGACTATTAATGAAAACCATATTAATTAGCTTTTGCTAGTTGTATTTTTGCATCAGTCATAGAAGAAAAGCCTATTCAGTGGGGCACCTGGGTGGCTCAGACCGTTGAATATCCAACTCTTTCAGGTCATGATCTCAGTGTGGCCCCACATCAGGCTCCCTGCCAGCCAGCCTGGGATTCTCTCCTACTCTGCCCCTCTCCCCACTCAAGCTCTAAGTTAAGTAAATAAATAAATCTTAAAAAAAAAAAAAAAAAAAAAAGCAGCAGCAAGGCAGCAGCATCTACTCAGCAAACAGCAGCGTGGAGGAGGGGAGAGATTACAAGGAAAGAGCCAGAAAACAAGAGTATTATCAACAGAATGAACTTCTAGGCATTCCTTCTTGTAATCTTCACTATGCAAGCTGCTCAATGCTTAAGGTGTAGAGGCAAGGAAAAGGAAAGAGCAGAGAGCAATCAGGTTTTGGCAATTACAACACAACCTAATGCTTGGCTTTGTGTATCTCTTTGTATACCAGAAGGCAGAAGGCAACAGAATTGGCCAATTTAGAGCCAAAAATTCCCCCTAACATTGTGCTAACCTAGCAAATGACCCTGGATAGAACTGGAGACATAGAATCGGGCCACTCAGTTGCCCTGTTTGAGAAACAAAAGGTTGTTACCAGTAAGAGCAGCCTAATGTGCAACATGTTGTAAGCACATGTACAATTAGACAAAAGTATATTTCTTAACTAAACTCTGAGTGCAGATCTCTGTGATGGCACCCTCCACCTATGGCCATCAAGAGAGCAAAAGCAAAGTTTGTAGGCTAAGGATCACAGTATCAAGTCACATAGTGCAAGTTAACAAAACCAGCATCACAATGAGGAGACACCTGTGAAGTCCACACACTTTGTGTCTATTTAACTAACTAGTAAACAAAAATTATGAAGTCTAGGACCTCCTTTAAGCTCAAACTACAACTATGTCCAAAATGAGTTCAAAAACTTCATGGAAGGACGCCTGGGTGGCTCAGTGGTTGAGCATCTTCCTTCAGGTTAGGGCGTGATCCAGGAGTCCTGGGACCAAGTCCCACAACAGGCTCCCTGTAGGGAGCCTGCTTCTCTTCTCCATCTGCCTGTGTGTGTGTGTCTGTGTCTCTCATGAATAAATAAAATATTAAAAAAAAATAAAAATAAAATAAGTCTCCACAAATGAAAAGCAAGCCCTATAGCTACAAAATAACTGGCAGATACCAGAAATGCTTAAAAGCTAATAAAAGCTCTGTATCTCAAAGAAAACCTACCACCAGAAGAAGTAAGCACTAAAACCTTCTACTACTAAGCATCTTAAGTATAAACCAGGGGATCCCTGGGTGGCTCAGTGGTTTAGCGCCTGCCTTTGGCCTAGGGCATGATCCTAGAGTCCCGGGATCGAGTCCCATGTCGGGCTCCTGGCATGGAGCCTGCATCTTCCTCCTCCTGTGTCTCTGCCTCTCTATCATAAATAGATAAATAAAATCTTAAAAAAAAAAAAGTATAAATCAAATTCCATTCTAGAAACTCCAACTGTCAAGAATATTTTTGACATTAGTGAACCACCCCTGAAGCAAAAATTCACTTGTTCATTTGGGTGAGAACTCTCAAGGAGCCACTGTTAATTCACGCTGTGGACAGGCCTAGGTGCCATGGTTACTCTCTGGCTGTAGATCTTCAGCTTTGCTGAGGAGGCAGGGAAGTACTGGCCAATTCCCCCCTGGCAGCTAAACACCAAACAGAGCTGAAATACCACAGAAGTTCTCTTCCACAAGATTTTAATAGGTTGTTAAGTCTGGTGTGTCAGATCTGTTTTACTGAACAAACACCTGTGTTCTCTCCCCTCTGGTGGTCTCACACTGCTGACAGGGAAGGGTACTAAAAGCTTTCCAGAATGTTTGGAAAACCAAACTTCTTCCACTGAGACAAGTTACACTACCCTCCCTCCAGCTTTCTTACTCTCCCAAACACACTTAACCAATACTGTATTTTCCCATTAAGCCTCAATAAAACTAGAACTTCCATTTCTTCTTGCCTCACTTCTATAATGACAAGAGATGGTTTTGAGCAACAACTTAGTCCTGGAGCAGTCCTTATAAGACTGAAAGTTACAACCACCTTCATTTAGCCACTATGCTCTAAAAATTTAATCACATTCATTTCATTTTCAATTTTACACAAAACACAAACTCCTCAGAAGACCCATCATTCAACTCTACTCCTCACTTGCCACTTCCATGGAGCCCACACCAGTAAGGCTCATCTTTTACAGGCACCCCCACCCAATTTTCCAATCCTCACCCTAATCGACCCTCAGCAGCCCCTGACATGTTCATCTCCATTTTCACGAGTACATGGACCCTCCTGGGTTTCCTTTTCCTTCTCCTCCTCAGTCTGCTTCTTGTTAGACTCCCCTTGCTGAGCCATCCCCCACCAACCCCACACCGGAGTGACCCTGCTCAGTTCATGGCCTCTCAAAACTCATCTCATTCCACAGCCTCTGCCTGCCTCTCCCTCTCACCACTTCAGACACGGCAGCAGCATGCCTGCTGTCCCTCGGCTCCATCTTTCACCTAGGGCATAACCCTAACCTGTGCACATATGTTCTTTCTCACCGTTCAAGTCTCTGCTCCATTGCCCCTGAGAAACCTTTTATCACTCTACCTAAAATAACCCGTTATCTATTTATTTATTCCATGTCCTCTTTCTCCATTGGAAAAAGTAAACATTTTATCTTACTGGCACCATATCCTTAGTGCTGGGCACACAGCAGCTATTCAATAAACATTTGATGAGTTAATCTGTACCTAACACTACAAATAATTGTAGGAAATGCCTTCATTATAGTTATTTTTTCTCATCAGCATTATGCAACAACACTATCCAGGGATCTGACCTCCCCCTCTCAAAAAACTAAAATACTTCACTTTCATGCACATTCATCCCTCTGCTCCCCCTCTGCTTCTTTTGGCTCCTCCCACTAAGATTGATCAACAATTCCAGGTTATGATGCATGCCCCCCCCACACACACACAGAGGGTCTTCCTTTAACAGTATTACAGAGAGAGAGAGACAGAGGCAGAGATACAGGCAGAGGGAGAAGCAGGCTCCCGGCAAGGGAGCCACCCGGGCTGCCCCAGAATTACTTTTTAATAGTCTCTGCCTCTGTGTGTGTATGTGTGTCTCATGAATATATAATTAAAATCTTAAAAAAAAATAGTGGAAGCTATTAATCTACACTAATGGTACCCACAACAATCTACAGCAAAACCTATCTCCACACCAGGTCAAACTACAGATAAAACCTCAGGTAACAAAGGTATAGGGTCTGCCATTCACTTCCTATTTGTTCTCTATAGGATCAGCTTGAGAAGCTCTAATCTTTCCACAAGCCACTCCACACACAACAGAAAAAAAAAACACAAAACAAAACAAAACAAAAAAACAATTAGTCATGAAGAAAATATTTCCTAGTGGATGCACATTTGACTCTTAAAATGAGCAAACAGTTTTTATATTACATGAGGTGGCTGTACCATCTGAAAATGGTGGTGGTCTTTTTTTTTAATTTTTTAAAATTTAATTTTTAAGATTTCTTTTACTTATTCATGAGAGACACGGAGAAAGGCAGAGACACAGGCAGAGGGAGAAGCAGGCTCCATACAGGGAGCCGGATGTGGGACTCGATCCCAGGACCCCAGGATCACGACCTGAGCCGAAGACAAACGCTCAACCGCTGGGCCACCCAGATGCCCCAAGATTTTTTTCTTACTTTATTCATTTGACAGAGAGAGAGCTCAAGCACACACAAGCAAGGGGGAGCAGCAGGCAGAAGGAAAGGGAGAAGCAGACTCCTCAATGAGCAGGAAGCCCTGAGGTGGGCCTCAATCCCAGGACTTCAAGGGATCACTACCTGAGCCAAAGGCATACACTCAACCGAGTCAATCAGGTGCCCCGGTGGTGGTCTTTACAGGACTCCTTTTCTATAAGTGGCTGAATCACTGTAGATAATTCTCCACCCTTTAGTCTTCTTCAGTCCTATCTGATTTTGAATAAATGCACATTCCATAAAACTAACATTTATCTGTTTGGTTCATCTCAAGTGAACATGAAATTCTAAGGGCCTATACTCATTGGATCATGTGTTGATTCCTCGAAAGAGGAGCGTAACACAACACTTAAAACTCAGCATTATACGCAAGTGATTTATTAAAAATCTAAGAATTGGGGGAAGAAACGTACTTTGTTAGATCAAAAGTCTAGCATTAGCATACGTTCAAGGTGAAAACCAACCAACCAACCCAGAATTTTCAAGCAACGATAGGCTGATCTGGTTTGGCCAAATGACACTACTCATACGACTTAAGTTGTGAATACCTTCATATAAATGATTCTACAAAAATCTGACAACTTACAGAAAGAATTTTTATAGCAGTTAAGTATGTCCAATAACATAAAACTTCACCAAACCAACAATCTGTCATTTGAAAGGCAGTAGGTAATTTGTTTGGTAAAGGAAAATAGAATTCAACTGTCACTGCTTACACAGCGCCCATGTCTGTTCTATGATGTTCCCCCAACCTTGAATACACCTACCGTCCCAGCCAGGATATCATGGGGGCAGCAGTCCAGAAGGTGACTCTTGCAGACACGGTCATCTGTAAACTTGACCCTCTGTCTGGTTTCGTCTCCTGAAATTTATTTGTGGTTTTAAATAAGACAATATTATCACGTTAAACACCAAAGCATATCTGGTACAACAATTCACCTGGATGATTGGCAGACTACCAAATACAATGAAAAGCTGATCTAGAGATATTTACAACTGGAGCGGAATACGGATGTTGTCTGATGCTAAATGTATCATGAAGAATCACACTTAATGAGATCTGACTCCGTCATTGTGCCAAAGAAGTCAAGGAATCTGAAGAGGCTGAGCACCAAAGGCCATTAACCCCACACATACATGTGGGCAATGATACCAAAACCCATGCTAATCAGAGGGCCATGAATCACCACGTATGACTTAGAGAGGGTAGTGTCCACCAAGAGAAGCTACATTATTAATCTAATCGTTTGCTATGGACAAATGCAAACAAAGGCAGTGTTTTGACCCAAATCACATGAAGAAGAAAGCTTTCAAACTCTACCACTGACTGATAAATAATCTAAACCTAGTCTTCCTCTCCCCTTCACCCCCACCCTTAAAAAAGAGAGTTGGCACCTGGGAGTCACTTTTAACAATACCAAAAAAAAAAAAAAAAAAAGGAACTAGGTTAGTCAATACACACTGTGAGTTCCAACACATACTGTACCCATCTGCATTCTTCAAGACCTCAGCTGCAGAATTTTATGCCCGCTGTTGAAAAGTTTTAAAGGAAAAGTTTTCTTGCCCAACCTGCAGTAAGGAAGTCAGGGGAATGATACATAAAAGTAAAGGCAAAGTGGAATGTGACAAATTTTAAAGCTAATCTGTGTATACACAGAGCTGTGTAATACTAAAAGAGGAATATTATTTTAGGATTCGCAAGCATCCAGGATTAATGTCGTGTCTCTTTATTGAAAATGTTTTCTTTCTAAACTACACTTTTAAAAGTTATTTGTGAAAAAAAAAAAGCAAACACTTTTTTGTTATAACAGCTTAGAAATTGGTTGTGACTCACGGCTCGATGAACATGAGGCTTTTCTGCAACTCCCTTGCAGATTGATGTAGGCAGGCAAAGATACACTGAACCTTTATAAATAAAATAGAGGGGCCACAATTGTTCAGTTTGTATGAAATAAAAATATGGGAAGCAATTCAAAAGCAACTCAACATACAAAGAAAGCTAAAAAAGCACTTATTCGCCTATGAAATAGAGTGCGAAGGATCTGCACAGCCCTGCGAATGTGCCAGTGTGAACTTACAACTTCATCGCTTCGATCGGAAAGAGGAACACAAACCACAGCAGGTTACAGTTTGCAAAGGCGCAACCGCGTTCTCCTGAGACAACCAGCATCCCTACAACCGTCGTGGCACGACCTCCCTAACGCTGCCAAGTACTAGCTAGACAGAGGCTGTCCTGTGTGGCGGGAGGGGAGAGGGCTGGGAGGCACCCGGCAGGAGCCCACGTTAGAGCAGCTCGGTGCGCAGCTGCCCTTGCTGCAGAGGCCCGTCCGGCTGCCTCGGGCGGCAAGAGGCTTCCTCCCCGAGCAGCCTCGGAAGAGCTCCGCCCCCCGGCTGCCCGCGGTCTGCGGCCCAGAAGCAGAAAGTCGCAGCCCCGCGAGGGGAGGGGACTGGAGCCCCGCCGACGGCTCGGGGTCCAAGGAAGCAGCCCGCCGGGGACGCGCCGCCGGCGACGGAGAAGCTGGCGGCTCAGACAAAGGCCCGGCGCCTGCGGTCGGCGCGCGGGGGAGGGGCGTCCGGCGCAGGCGCAGACGGTCGCGGCCCCCGCCTTAGGCCGCCCGGCGGCCTCGCCTCACTCCCGCCCCAACCCGTCGCCGGCCGGCCGCCCCGACTCACCGTCCCGGGCCGTGCCCATGAGCTGGTCCAGCAGGGCCCGCATCTGCGCCTGGGCGGACATGATGGCCGGGGCGAGGGCGCCAGGGACGGCCGCGACGGCTCCTCTCGGCGCGGCGGCGGCGGCAGCGACGAAGGTTGGTCGCGTCGGCCTCGAGCCCACTCGGCTCCTTCCCGCCGCGAGGGACGCCGGGAGGAAATGCGTCAGGGGCGGCGTTGAGCCTGCTGGGAAATGTAGTTTCTGCGGTGGGGGGGCGGTCTAGGGCTCGAAACTCCGCGGGCAGGATTGGTCCGAGTGAGTTGTCCCCAGAAAAGTCCCAACCCTGATCCTTTTTTTAAAAATATAGATTTTATTTATTTATTCATCAGACACACAGAGAGAGAGGCAGAGACACAGGCAGAGGGAGAAGCAGGCTCCACGCAGGGAGCCCGACGTGGGACTCGATTCCAGAACCCCAGGATCACAGCCTGGGCCAAAGGCAGAAGCTCAACCGCTGAGCCGCCCAGGCGTCCCCCAACCCTGATCCTGTTCTTGGGCCCAAGACCTAGATGTTCTACTGAGACTAAACTGAAATAGGAAAAAAAAATAAAAAATAAATAAATAAAATAAACCGAAATAGGATAAGATATAGACTGTGCAAAATGAGTATGTCTTCTGTGTTGCTTTCCATGGAGCCATTTACTCTCAGACTCAGTTTCCTCTCTGTCAAACGGGGGTTCTGAGGCTGCGGCTCATAGGACTTGTGAGTCACATCGAGGCCGCTCTGCCCTCCGTAGGGGTCCGTCTGTGAGCTCACAGCCCGCCATCCCCCAGCGCTCTTCTGGCGCTGGCCACGTCGGAGGCTGGCTGTGTACCCTCGTGTAGAGCCCCAGTCCCCGGACAGTGGACCTTTTTTTTTTTTAAGATTTATTTTTTTTTAATTTATTTATTTATGATATTCACACACAGAGAGAGAGAGAGAGAGGCAGAGACACAGGCAGAGGGAGAAGCAGGCTCCATGCACCGAGAGCCCGATATGGGATTCGATCCCGGATCTCCAGGATCGCGCCCTGAGCCAAAGGCAGGCGCCAAACCACTGCGCCACCCAGGGATCCCTTTTTTAAGATTTATTTATTTATTTATTCATGATAGAGAGAGAGAGAGAGAGAGAGAGACACGCAGAGACACAGGCAGAGGGAGAAGCAGGCTCCATGCAGGGAACCCGAGGTGGGACTTGATCCTGGGTCTCCGGGATCAGGCCCTGGGCTGCAGGTGGGTGCCAAACCGCTGAGCCACCTGGGGATCCCCACGGTGGACCATTACTACCGTGGGGACAGCGAACCGCCTTATGGGGCTGTCGGCACACAGTTGTGTCTTCTTCCTGATGGCATGCCTCCACACCAGCAAGCCCCTCCAAAGGCTTACAGGATGCCGGGGTCACTGACACGGGTCATATCAACAGAGACATCATATAGTAAAGCAGACCGGTCCTTTCTCTCTGTGCAGCAAGCCACTTATAAAACTCAACAGTGTAGGAGATCCCTGGGTGGCTCAGAGGTTTAGCACCTGCCTTTGGCCCAGGGCGTGATCCTGGAGTCCAGGGGATTGAGTCCCACATCAGGCCCCCTGCATGGGGCCTGCTTCTCGCTCTGCCTGTGTCTCTGCCTCTCTCTCTGTGCGTCTCATGAATAAATAAAGCCTTTAAAAAAAAAAAAAACACAGACACACAAAACCCCTACGGGTTTGTTTTGGTGAAACTTGTCCCGGTTGTAAAGTTTTACTGAAGAAAGAATGGCTAAAGCTTTTCAACATAACAAAAAGGTGGAGGTATCTGTCCAACTAAATATCACGGAGTTATTAGGATATTGTAATTGAGATTGTGTGGCACCAGCACAAAAATGGAGATAGCAATGAAATAATGACAGAAAATAAAGATCCCAGAGAGAATCTGTCGGGAAATTCCCTCAATTTCCCCATGCTCCTGCAAAAAAGTCCTCTTCTCCTTAGACCCTTCGCTTACTATGAGCATTAGACCCATAGCCATTTATTTGTGGTCTGATCCAGAAGTAAAACTTAGCTTTTTTCTCTGAGAGGGCCAAGTGATTACGGCCTTGGATTAGCTGCCTAGGTACTGGGGAGAATAGTGCTCTCTTCCCCTGTATCTGCAGTAAAGGAATGAGGCCCAGAATTTGGAGACATCTCTAGGTCCTAAAGTCTGGCCAGACCTTGGGGCAGTCAGGCCCCTAAAGAAACACTAATATACCAAAGGACCATAGTGGAGGGGAGACGCTTTTATTTTTTAAATTTTATTTATTAATTCATGACAGACACAGAGGCAGAGACACAGGCAGAGGGAGAAGCAGGCTCCGTGCAGGGAGCCCAACATGGGACTCGATTCCGGGACTCCAGGGTCACGCCCTGGGCCCCCCAGGGATCCCCTACCCAGATTTTTTTTTTACGCCTCCCCCCCTTCCCCCCGCATATCCAGATTTTTTAAAATGTGGCAGGTGCCCTTGTACACTGCTGGGGAAAAGAGCAAGTAACTCAATAAATGGCACTAGGTCACCCACATGGTGAAGAAACCACGTTGCCTTTTCTTTTCCTGACCACGCTAAATCTGTCCTAAACCCAGTTAAAAACAAAACCTTAAGGGGGCCCCTGGATGGCTCAGGGCCCGGTCCCGGGGCGCGGGGTGGAGCCCCAGGTCGGGACTCCAGCTCTGCGGGCGGCCTGCGTCGCCCTCACTACCTCCCCCTGCTTGTGTGCGCGCTCTCTTTCAAGTAAATATAAGCTTTAAAAAAAAAAAAAAAAAAAAAGACCCGAAATGTTGGGCGCCCGGGTGGCTCAGCGGTGGAGCGTCTGCCTTGGGCCAGGGCGTGACCCCGGGGTCCCGGGATCGAGTCCCCATCGGGTCCCCCGCAGGGAGCTGCCTCTCCCTTTCCCTCGGTATCTCAGGTCTCTCATGGATAAATAAAATCTTAAAAAAAAAAATACGCCAAGCCCAGCAAGCCGAGAGAGGGCGGCAGGAGGGCCCACCTGGAGGCCAGCGGCCGCCGTCCCCTGCCAGCCCGCTCCGCGCTCAACCCCACCCAGGCCCGCCCGCCTCTCGCTCCGCAGCCCGGGCGGCGGGCGGAAACCCTCCCTCTGCGCGCGCTTCCGCCACCGCGCCCGCCGGCCGGAAGTGACGCTAGAGGCGGAGCCGGGGCGCGCGGCGCAGGTGAGTGAGCGCGGTCCCGTCCTCCTTGCGCGTGCGCGCGGCGGGGCTCGCGCGGGGCCCCACCCCTTCCCCGGCGGCCACTCCTCTTGGCCCGGGCGACCCGCCGCCGGCAGACTGCACCCCAGAGGGACCTCGCCCACGCTGCCCGCCCCCCTCCGCAGCGGGCGGGTGGAGAGGCGACCGCAGGGGCAGGGGCCGGCGGCCCAGCAGGTCTGACTCCCGCAGCACGGGCTCTGGTGACGGCCAGCTCCAGCCTCCGTTTACCCAGAGACAGGACTCCGGGCAGGAAACGTTGGCCGCGCCGTAGGTAAGCCAACCTTCACTGTTCGTGCTTCTGACGGTGCCGCACTGCTGGCTGCTGCAATTAGCTGAAGGCGCCTGAGAGCCCTCTCCCGCAGGCCCCCCTGGACACTTCCCCGCGGCCACTCATCGGGACGGTGGACGGCAGAGTTGAGGTTTGCTCGCACTGAGCGCCGGCTCACGGACACCTGGGGGGCCACACAGACACCGGGGGGCCTCACAGACACCTGCAGGGCCTCACAGACACCGGCGGGGCCTCACAGACACCTGCAGGGCCTCACAGACACCTGGGGGCCTCACAGACACCGGGGGGCGGGGGGGCCTCACAGACACCGGGGGGCCTCACATACAGCTGGGGGCCTCACAGACACCTGGGGCCTCACAGACACCTGCGGGCCTCACATATACCGGGGGGCCTCACATCTGCAGGGCCTCACGTACACCCGGGGGTGAGAGCTCACATACACCTGGGGGCCTCACATATACCTACTGGTCTCACATACACCAGGGGGCCACCGCTCACATACACCTATCCTGGCTCACTGAGCAAGGGCAAGGGAACGTAGGGTTGCCCTCAGAGCCTCTTGCTCCCCGCGAATTGATGGTCATCGGGCGGGTGGTGAGATCCCAGAGGAGGCCTTTGCGGGTACTTTGGGGTTCTCGGCAGCCATGGGATTGCAGCCAAGGAGCCCGTGTGAGGTATTCCTCTGCAGGTACTGGCTGGTGGTGTCTCTGGTGCCACTGCCAGATTGCACCACTTCCTTGGTTGCAGCAACCTCACAGGGAGCACGCACTTAGCGCACTTTGCATTAACACCACACACAGACTGACTGTGGGGTGCCAGGCATGGCGTTGGGTGCTGAGAGTGTAGCACTCCACAAAACAGAATCCCTGTCCTCAAGGGGCTCCATTTCTGTGGAAGGATACAGATAATAAACAGAATACAGAGCAGGGAGGGATGAGATGGAAATGACCCAAATATCAAGTGGACATTTATTTGTGCATTTTACCAGCTCTCTGGACCTTGTTGCACTGATTGGAGTGCTTTTGCCTTCAAGTGTCAAGAATCCATTAAAACTAACTCAACCTATGGAGGAACTCCACTGGCTTTCATGTGGGAAAGTTCAGAGGACCAAGAATAATAGAGGGGCCAGTGGCTTAATGAGATCATCAGGACTTGGTGATGGAGGGAGCATCTTCTCAGACCCCCATCCTCTCACATACCACCTCTTTGCCCTATTGCTGTGTTGCGATTTTTCTTAGGTTCCTGCCTCCATCCTACCTACTTATTTACTTTGCTGCTGCGTAAAAATCAACACAAAATTTAATGGATTAAAATATCCTACATTTATTATTTATTTAGAAGTGGGAAGGGAGGGATCCCTGGGTGGCGCAGCGGTTTGGTGCCTGCCTTTAGCCCAGGGCGCGATCCTGGAGACCCGGGATCGAATCCCACGTCGGGCTCCCGGTGCATGGAGCCTGCTTCTCCCTCTGCCTGTGTCTCTGCCTCTCTCTCTCTCTCTCTCTCTCTCTGTGACTATCATAAATAAATAAAAAAAAAATTAAAAAAAAAAGAAGTGGGAAGGGAGAGAGTCCCAAGTAGGCTCCATGCCCAGCACTAGCCCAACTCAGAGCTTGATCCCACGACCCAGAAATCATGACCTGTGTGGAAATCAAGTCGGACACTTAACCGACTGAGCCACTCAGGCCCCAAATGTCCAACATCTATTATCTCCATTTCTGTCAGTCAGAAATTCAAAAGTAGCTTAGTGATGTGACTGGTTGAGAGATTCATCTGGTCGCAACCAAAACATTGGCTGGGACTGGTCATCTGAAGTCTGGCCTGGGACTGTTGGGTTTGATTCGAGAGGATACACTCACATGACCGATGACTGGAGGCCTCGGGTCCTAGCTGGCTGTTGGCAAGAGTCCTTATTCCCTTGCCTGGTGGGCCTTTCCGTGGAGCCCATGTCCTCACACGGTGGTGGTGTTCCCGCAGAGAGGAAGATGGAAGCCACAGTGCTTTCTGTGGCCTAGCTTTGGAATTCTGATTCTGTGACACCTGCCATGTTCTACTTGTCAGCATTAAGTATAAAAGACTTCACCTTTGAAAGGAGGTACATCAAAGAGTTTGTGAACATATTTTAAGACCACTGTTGCACTTAACACTCCTGTGGGAAAAGAGTGCCTATTCCCCATCATTCCAGCTGAATTCTGGACCTAATGCTTGTTTGGGCTCTAATTAGTTAGCTAGACCTGGGTAAGGGGCCCTCCCCAAAGTGAGGATGAATCAGTCCCACCAGAACTACGGTGAACATGCATGAAGTTGAGGTGCTATTACTAGAGAGAATGCATGTCACGGAGTCAAAGTGACCCCCACAAGTGATTTATACCGTTATTTATAATCAGGTTTTAAAAGTCAACTGCTTTTTGCAAGCTGTCGATTTCAAGCAAATGGTTAATAAATTCATTAATAAATTACTCTTCCAAGAAAACATGAGCAGAGCAGAGCAAGATTCGGACATTTATTCAGACATGTGGATGTGTTTATTTTATGCCAGGCACTATGCTTTGTCCTGGGAAAACAAAGGCAATAAAAACTAGTGTAGCTGGAGGTTCCTCACAGTCTGAGGGTAGGTCTCAGCAGTGGCTCAGTGAGTCCTGAGCTGTGTATGCAGCTCAGGTCAGGCAGCGCAGGCTCTGAAGCCACACGGGGTTACTGGAAGGAGGGCAGGGGACAGGGTCCACAGTGTGACCGGGGAGCACGTGTTGGACGCAGGATTGGGGAGACGCAACACTAGAGGTGGTGGGCAGGAGGCGTGTCTGAGCTTTGTTCTAAAGTCCTGAAGGGTTTAAGTTTGGGAGTTCTAAGCAGGGGAATGACATTTTCAAAAGATATTTTAGAAAGATGTCTCTTGCAGCATTGAGGAAAGAAAATTGGACTCCAGAAACCCAAGTGGGAAGTCGTAAGAACACCACCTAAAGCAGTGGCTGTTGGAGGGTGGAGCTAAGTTAACAGGGACAAACGCTGGAATCCATAGGGTTTGTTGGATGTTTGAAAACACTCTAATCTCACTCAAAACTGGTCTTTATGAACTGAATGAATTTTGTTCCCATTCTTTCTAAGCTTTATTTTTTTAAAGATTTTATTTATGTATTCATGAGACAGAGAGAGAGAGAGAGAGGCAGAGACACTGGCAGAGGGAGAAGCAGGCTCCATGCAGGGAACCTGATACAGGACTCGATCCGGAACCCCGGGTCACGCCCTGAACCAAAGGCAGATGCTCAACCACTGAGCCACCCAGGCGTCCCTCTTTGTATAGTTTATAATGGAGCTTAGCTCGTTTGGATGTGATGTCAAAAAAAAAGAGAGAGAAGAGTGCTGATTCTTAAGTGAACAGCACAAACTCTGACAGATCCAGCCACAGTTCTAAAAGATTGGAGGTGGGGTGTGGAGGAGAGGTACGCGGGCCTGTAGGGGCAAACGTCAGCCATGTGTGGGTAATTGTTGAACCTGGGTGACAGGTACGTGGGGCTGGGGGGCTCTACGCTTAACGAACATTTGAACATTTACGTGACAAAAGGTTTTAAAAAATAAACAATGATAAAAATTAAGTAAATTAAAGTTAAGATCTACTGGTCTTGCAGAGTTGGCCAAAGTGATGGAGTAAGAGTTATGCATTATCTTTTCAAGGGCTTTTGCTCCCCCCTCCACCCCCTTCCCTTAGTGTAAGGACAAGAAGTAACAGTGGTGTAGTGGACAAAGGAAATAAAATCTGCCTTAGAATTCAGGAAAAAGGCTACTCTGTGCTATTTTCTGGACCAACTATAAAAGTTATTCTATGTAGTAGTTACTTGTCCAAAAGGCAGATAGATGTTCATCCTTGACTTATGCTTAGGAGGTACTTTACTCCTTGGTCACTTTATGCTTTACACTTGTGTAAAGGAAGTGACCTTTGTGCTGAGGTTCATGAGCGCCGGCTGTGCACTGTGATACACTTGCCTTTATCCAGGAACTGTGACCTTAACATTTGTTCTGATATAAAAGATGATTAAGGGCCTGTTCTTTGTAGATTATTTTCTTGGTGAAGAGAGGAAATAGTTGTTCATCCCTAAGCAACAGAACACATAGCTGCCCTGGCATGGCTTCTGCTCTGCTCAGCCAAAAATTCACTGCTGCCTACTAGGATACGTGGGTGCCTCTCAAATACCCCATGTTGAACTGCTGTTCGAATACTTGGGCTGCTCTTGGCCATGACAGATGCAGTTCCTCCTCAGGTGGAAGACATTCATACCCATTTGTGTGCATAACAGCCAGCTTGAGGGACCAGCAGTTGAGCCCACTTGCTTTAAGATTGATTAGTGACCAGAGACCCTGAAGTACAGAGGACGACTGTGTGTCGTCTTGCCTTCTGGTCCAGGTAAGTGCCCACAGACCACTCTCACCCCATTGAACTGACGTTTGTGTTTGCCCAGTGAAAACAGCAGAGTCCTCCTGCCCTATGACAGCTCTCCATCTGCCCTGGGGGTATCCGAGTGCTCTGGTGTGGAAGGTGGCTGACCCAGGTCCGCAGTGCTCACCCAGAACTTCCTAAGGCTTGCTGCTGGGCCAGCTGTGGCAGGAGGACCAGTGTGTGGTCCAGTCACAGCACAAACCAAGTGGAAAAGGCAGTTCACAGGTCAGACAACACAAATGCCTAGTGAATATGTGACAAGATGCAGCATATTTAGTGTGAGTGTGTGTGTATGTGTGTGTGTGTTTTAAATGTTATTTATTTATTTGACAGAGGGAGAGAGCACAAGCAGGAGCCGGGGCAGAGAGAGAGAGGCAGACTGCCCGCTGAGCAGGGAGCCCAATGGGGGGAGGGGGCTCTCCATCCCAGGGCCCTGGGTCCGTGACCTGAACCAAAGGCTGATGCTTCACCAACTGAGCCCCCCAAGCACCTGCATATCTATTTTATATAAATCTTACCTTTTGGAAAGATAATCCAATGGAGTGTGAATAGG